CCGATTCTCTGCCAGAGTTCTGTATTTGAGCCTATACCTACAGTGGATCTCTAAGCTTTTGAAAAATTTAGACAATATGAAAGACATGAACATAAATAGTTTCCATAAGACAGTCCATCAGTGTAACAAATACAAAAACTGTTTGAAAAAGTAGTTGCAAAAAAAAAAAAAATTCAAACCAAATAATTTAATTATGTATTTCAGGAGCAAATAAAAATATCTGGGGTTTGATTCTGTTTCTGAAAATTGCATGATTTTCACTTTAAAAATTGAATTAGGATGAAAATGTATTTTGTCTCCCTCTGACTGGATTGAACAAACATTCTGCTTCAATGACTCTGTGCTTGACTTATGCTCAGTGCTTGCTACAAAGATAGGATTTGTTGGGCTTCTACTTCTAGTGGCCTAGTATACATTTAAGGATGAAGAGATAATGATGCAAATGCCAGGGAACAGCCTGAGTTTTAATTTTGAATGTCCTAGAGATATTATCAAGATAATATATTTAAGAATAAATTTCTGTGAAATGCTGAATGCAAAAAGGTATAGCAATAATGAATAACATATGATTTACTTTTAAAAGTAATTCAGATCAAATAAATTAGGGACAGTATTAACTGACAGAGTAAACCAGGCTGTTCATAGGTATAATGAGAAGCTGGGCTAGTTAACATCTGCATGGCTTCATTTACCCCGTCAGCCAATGAGACAGGCATGTCAAGACCAGATACTTTGCAAAGTGTTTCAAGGACTACACTGAGAAAATATTGAGCAAATTTTCACAGCCATATGGTCAGTGATCTATACTGGGGGTTCTCCTCCCTCTGTTTCTTATGACCCAAGAGAGAGGCCATGGCAGTGCATATCTAACACCAATTCTTCACTCTGGCCTCTTTCTTGACATAGGTTTCGGACGGTGTTACTCAAACCAAGGCTTCCTTACTTTCCAATACTTTTTGCAGGCACAAAAGTGAGATTGAGATTCCAGAAAAATCCTTTTCTGAAGAATCTTCAACGTTTTAAAGAGGAGACCTAAGGGGAAGGGTTTAGGGCAAAGGCCTTAGAATAGGCCTTTGCAGTAACTAGTTCTTAGGCAACAGGCATAGATGACTGCTATCATCACGTATGAGTAAATGCAGCTTGTAACTCAGTTGTTTATATTGATTGGGGTGTCGTTTTTCCAGAATTAAGTAGTAGAATATTTTATCCAATGCTAATTTATGATGACTTAATATTTTATGCAGACAACAGATCTTATCTCTATTATAGCCAAAAAAGTGTTATATTCTAACAGTTGGCTTTTACAGAAAATAGGAACCTGATTTTGGAAGATGTAGGACAGATTAAAAAAATTTGGAATCATGCAAGATTGTAAAAGCTGCAGCAGGAGGTCTCAATTTGACATACAAAACTCTGCTTAGGTGATTGGGAGCCCTGTTAAATAACACTGCTCCTAAAAAGATATCTTCAGTCATTGTAGAAAAGACTGGTGCATGAAATTCACATTGGAAGCATTTAAGATTTCTTTTAAATAATTAATTCCTATTTTCCATGTCATTTTATCATGGCATCCTGAGATGTCCAGATCATCAATTCAGTAAGTGTGGTGGATTGACCCTATCTGAATGCCAGGCATCCACCAAAGCTACTCCATCATTCATTCACCTTCTCAGCTGGATGGGGAAGAAAAAATATTGCAACAGTTCATAGCTTGAGATATGTGAGGGAGAGAGATTACTCACCAAATACCGTCATGGACAAAACAGACTCAGATTGGTGATATCATTTGAATTTTGCTACTGACAAAATCAGAGCAGGATAATGAGAAGTAAAATAAATCTTAAAATATACCTCTTCCTCACCCCTCCCTTTTTCCAAAGCTCTTCCTCCCCCATCAGTAGTGATGGGAGATGGGGAATGGGGTTACAGGCAGTTCATCATTCATTGCTCCGGCTGCTGCCCAGGAAGAGGAGTTGTTCCCCTGCTCCAGTGTGGGGTTCCTCTGGGTTGGCAACCTGCTCTTGGGCATCCATCTGCTCCAGTTTGGGTCTTCTCCATGGGCTGCAGGTGGATCTCTGCATCCCCATGGTTGTCCATGGGCTGCAGGGCCACAGCTGCTTTACCATTGTTTTTACCACAGGTGCTTGGAGCACCTACTGCCCCTCCTTTTCCACTGACTTTGGTGTCTCCAGAACTGTTCCTCTCACATATTGGCGCTCTACTCTTCTTTGGCAGCAATTACATCTGCACAATATATTTTTTTCCTTTTTTTTTTTTTAAATATGTTATCACAGAGGTGTTACCACCATTCCTAATTGGCCCAGCCTTGGCTGGCGGCAGGTCCATTCTGGAGCCACCTGGCATTGACTCTGCAGGACATGGGGAAAGCTTCTGGCAGCTCACAGAAGCTACTCTTGTATCTCCCTCTGCCACCAAAACCTGGCCATGTAAACCCAACACAGTCAGGTTTATAATGCTATTTATTTCTAGCCTAAATTTACATAGGGCTAGTTTATATCTGATTGCTCTTTTGCCAACATCACTTAAATAGTTCATCCTTTCTCCCGATACCTGGCTAAAGAATTCACAGATAAAAATTATTTTCATTTTAACTTTTACTTTGCTTAGTTAGACAAACCAGCAAGGTCTTTCAATGCTCTTTAGAAAAGATCAGCTCACCAATCATCTGTTCATCCTACTAGTGTCCCCTTGCTCCTTTTTACTTTGAATTTACCTTTTCTGAATATTGGTGACCAGAATTATAGATGTGTTTCACATGAGATTTTGTATATATGTATATATTTATTTTTACTAATTTCATTGCCCAAATAAGTGGAAATTAACTCAGACTCATGTTTTGCATTCAGAGGCAGAGATTATGAAACTCAAATATCAAACCAAAATTGTTTCTTTCCTTCATATATTCTAGGCGTTATATATGAGAACCAGAATCACACCAAAGAAAGCATATTAATTTACAGTGTTATTATCCCTGTTCACTGAATTTCTCCCTAGCTACTTAGAGGTGCTTTTTTTTTTCTTGCTTGTAGGCTATGAATTTCCATGAATATTTCATATTTTTATTTCTAAAATATCACTTTAGTTCCCTGTAAATTTTCAATATTGTGCAGCTCATGTAATAGTATATAACAATAAATCATGCACCTTTATCATACCACTTATTCCTACTCATTGAATATATAACTGTCAAGAAACAACTATGCCATCATATTTCAGTTTCAGTAAAAAAATCTTATTTTATTGTGGCTTTCACTCATTTCCAGATGTCCTCCCTTCCTTGAAAGAGACAAGTCTGGGCGATGCCAGATTAAGATGAAATATCATCATCGCAACATATTAATTTTTCTTCAAAGATCTTAAAATAGCTTTCTTATGCTTTTGCTGGAACATTTTTCATCTTGCTTCAAGGGGAAAAATATGGATAAGAAAATCAACATCAGAACTTCAAATTGAGTGGTATATCCTCAAAATGTGGGCTGCAAATTTAACTGCAGTGGCACAAACACTGTGCAGAAATAAACAAATACATCCTGTTATACTGGAGAAACATGTCCTTTTGGAGTCTTCACCCTTTATACAGAAGTAACAAGATGAATGTAAATAAGTAATATTTTCTAGGCATACTTATGAGATATATGCAAATAAGATAAAAAGGCAAACCTCTTGTGCACAAGTCTTTTCTGAATCAGATGTATAATTTTTAAATCCTTAGAGATAGATCAGCACAAATTTTGCTTGGAAAACAGACTATAGAAAACACTCAGCTCATAATCACTGAAGTTATTTTCACCAGTCTAGTATCTGACAGTATCTACTTAGTTCAAATGAGAGAACAGTGTTAGACTAATAACACATGTAGTATGAAGTTTTTACAAGGTAACTGTAGAGACGTTTTCAAACAATCTAAAATGCAAATAGAATATCACTGCTACATTGTACAGGCAGCTTTTAGAATATATGAATGCATCTGGAATTATATTTTGTTCTTGTGTAATACTTTATTTAAAAAAGCACTTCAGAGTGAGATTACAATGCAATATAAGTGAAAAAGAAGGAATTGAAAGGAAGGAATTGTATTTTCTGGTGTTTTCATTATCAGTCAAGATAATAGTGAGTTAGTGAAACACTAGCAAGAGAACAATCAAGTATGAGAAAGTAAACAAAAAAAACTATGTAAAGTTTTATTAGCAGAGAAATACAAAATTCTGTCACTCTACGCTTTTTATTTCAATGCTAAAGAATGGAAATAGCTAATTTGGATTTTTATTTATGATTTTTCTGTCATATGCAGAACATATAATAATTATAGTTAATGTCTCTTGATTCATTTAATCAATTCTGTGTTCTGCCCAGATCTTTCCCTGAAGGGTCACTCTTTTTTTGACATAATAACTAACTTCAGACTTAATCTAAATACAGCTTGGATGATTCTGATTATTTTTGTTAGTAAGGAGACTTTTTCATCATTAGCATACTGTAACTTGACACTAGGATGCATTTCTCAAGATAATTCAAGATGCAAGTGTGCTTCCTGATATCTCACTGCAGACCAGAAAGCTTGTGTTCTTGTGGCAGGTTTTGTCCCTCCTGGCCTCACTGGGTCCTTCACCTGGCCTGTGCAGTCAAAGAAGGAGGGCTGAGGAATTAATGTGGTCCAACTTCCCAGTTTAAGTGTTTGCCATTTTCATGTGTGTAGAGTAATTCACAATTAAATTTTGTGGACAAGTGCTAATACAAGCATTTACTAATGACAGCCGAAGCAGACAACATGATTGAGAATGTTTCTAGAAGACAGAAATGCTGAAATAGAAGGAAGAAAGCATATGTCATTTGCTTACACTAAGGATACATGAGGTGCATTGTTCTCTTTCACTTACCCATCTGATTTTATGTCCTTCCTGAAAACGTGGCATTCAGGGCCATGGAGAGAGAAACTTCCGTGTGAGAAAGCTGCTGTCTGAGGTTTCCAACAGAGAATGCTTTCAGGAGCACTCCCAAGGAGCCACCTTCAGAGGTATATTCATGTTCTTGGGCTCAATTTCTGTGAGATATGATATTTAACTGCTCGCAACCACTAAAAGTGGCAGAGAGAGGGAGAGAAGTATGAGAGGACAGGAAAATACTGCTTTTTTTCTTTTGGCAGCAGTAATCTGTTATATCAAGATAACTGCCTTTGAGATGGAAATCTAATTCCTCAGCACCCTGAGATAGCCCCATTTGGAAAGAGTATTCTTGCTCATACAGTTCATCTGCTTTTTGAAATACTACTATGATTCCAAAAAGTTTAAATCTTTTTCTAGAATACCACAACTATTAAAAAAATGAATAATTCAGTAAAATGCCATATGTAATAACACACCCAAAGATGACAAGAAAAGTTATTAGCAAGTTGTGAGTGCAGGGGATTTTACGTGTCCTGAAATTTTACATTCAACTTAGGCATGCAACACTTATGTGGTATCAATTTTTTTTTCCTTGGCAGTCTAAAATTTTATTATGCAGACATGAGGATTCATTCACCCTGAGAGTTTGCTAGACTCAATCCAGATGTTGCATTATGGAGGCAAGGATGGGTAATTCTGGAATTACTGAACCATGTGTGTAAACAACTGGAATCTGTTCTATTAAGACGAGGTCCTGTCTGTTACAGTGAAGAACCTCCCTTGCTATCAGTGAGTTCACCTTTCTGCTGTGACTCTCCAGTGTCTCTTGCCTTTCCCTTTCCATAAATAATGTCCACCCACCCACCCACATGCCTGGCCAGGAGATACACGTTCCATCCACTGCTTTGAGCTACGGGGTTGGTTAAAAAGCCTAGCAAGGATGCACACCCTGCTTTTTCTAACAGAACACATTGCTGCTAAATAGCTGGCATGCTAGAAAAGATGCTCTGCAGGCTGCAGGAAGTCCTTGAGCCGTATGTTATGCAGGCCTGTTCTCCAACTCGATTTTGTTTATTTCTCTGTGTGTCAGTGGTAGGATATGGAACTGTGATCTCTTTTCTTATTTAAATATATTAATGTATTTCAAAGGCAGAGGGCTTTTAAAAATCATTATTTCATTGGTATGTTATCACTTATTTTTAATATGAATTTTTATATATGGTAGTAAGTCATCTCAGAGTAAACAACAGATGTATACACCTATATTATGGTTTAACACTGACATTACTATTAAACAATAATAAGAAAACATGTCAAAAACTTTAATGATTAATAAATGTGACAAGAAGAAAAAACACTCTAAGTTCAGTTTTGCTTTCAAAAAATTGACTGAAAAAGGCACATACTTCTTTTCAGGACATTCTAAAATGCCAAAATTCCTGATCAGACAAGTCTATATTTGCAGCTATATATGAAAACTAATTTAGCACAGATTTGATTTTATTGGTTTTTTCCTTCAGACCATGATTTCCCCTGCTTCTGGGGTAAAAATATTTAAAAAAAGAAAAAGTTATTCCTACAATGTAACAGCTCCAGCTGCAATAAAAGTGTGTAGATTTCATTCTGAATAAGAAGGAAGGTTTATTAACACTTGAAAACATATTTTCTTTGCACTCTAGATGTTTTACACCTTACTATTGATTAAATCAATTTACAGCACTACCTGTGAGGTATCAAACATGACTTGCTACCTCTGTTAAGGGAATTGAGTCAGTTCAGTCCTTGTCAGTAAAAGCATAGCAGATCAGTGACTCCAATAAGGAGAAAGTAGCAGTAACTTAGGAAACAAGCGAGAAAATAGGGTTGGTGTGGGTGCCTGCAGCACCTTTGAAGAAACTGATGCAAAGCTCTGACCCTCTCAGGATATTAAGGGACATGTATTGAAGCATAACATAATAAAATTAATTTATTTCAAACATAGGCATATTGCATGACATACGTTTGGTAGGAGATAATCAAGGCCATCATCCATCAGTATGGAAGTAGTTTTTTATAGCTGGTTGGAGATGATGGAAAACATTCTGTAAATTATTGTGTGGTAGCTTACTGTTAACAAGATAGTCATGAGCACTTATGACCTGAATTGTTTAATTGTGTGTATCAATCCACTAAGCGGCATGATTTAATACTTTCCAATATGCTCTCTTTTTGTTCTTTGTCATTTCTAAGAGAGCTGTGATTTTTAATTTGACTATCTGAGCAGGGGTAACTCAGCAAAGGAGTAACTTTTTTATAATTGCACAATATATGGGTAACACTGAATGAGTATTTTAGAAAGTTCTCTCTATATATCTGTATATACCTATATATCTATATATATATATCAACATTGGATTTATTAATTGAGAGAGATCATTGCAAAGTATTTTGGGACTGTAGAGGCATAAAAACCCCAAGTCCAGTTGATCAATTTGATTAAATTTTTTTCTTCATTATAAGCAAGAAAAAAAAGTTTACTTTTCACTTTGTGACCAGCAAACCAAAACAGAGTAAGAGTGGCCTTAAGAAGGAGATAGCAGGAAATGTCAGCTATGGAAAGATGAAAAATACCTTGTCAGCAATGTAAGGTGTTATGAACTATTTTCGTGTCATCTACTCCATATTTGTATTCTTCTGAGTGGTACAACGCAGCATAAAAGTGTGTTGCAGGCAATTCTTGCAGAGTATGAGAAACATAAGTTCAGAGGGTAACTCGTTCATCTGCACACACCCTTAATGCCTCTCAAGTTGTCCGAGTGAGGGATGCTTAGAGATAAGACAGAACAATTATGTAAAAGCAAGTCCTATCACATCCACAGCTGACTGCAGAAAACTTACAGCCTGGAGCAAGGATCAGCATCCATTTAGAATGAGACTGCACCACAGAGATATATGTTTTCAGTAACTCAACTCCATCTATATTTCATGTTCTAAAACACTCTGTATTTTGTGAATTTTTAATGTAACTGTGTTCCTCACTAATGGTGTTCCCCCATATGGCAGCTTCCACAGATTCCAGGTTCCTAAAGCATAAGAAAGGTTTTAGAATTGTATCCTACATCATGTATTGATACATTAAAACTATTCATTTGACGAATGAGGAAAAGTGCTATTATAAAATACAATTTCTGATCTTGCTTAAGCCTGTCAAGAAGGAAAAATAATTCCCCCTTGTTAGTGTAAGAACCACACCAATCTCACTACTTTGTTGTTGCTTTCATTTTTGTCGTGTGCATTTATCTGCTTCCAATTTCTGTTTAAAATACACTCACAGAGCAAAGGATCATCCTTTTGTTCTGACTGTACACATTGTACAATTTGGTAACTAGCCTCTAATGTACTTCGGTTTTGCATCTTTACTCTTGTCGTCATTTATCAACCCCCTGCTTCAGTCTGGTAATTTTTATGATGGAACAACAAAGAATGTCATTCTGCCTTAAGCACCAGATACCATAGTACCACTACTGAATGGATCTGATAATTCTACTAGTGAGTAAATAACCACTGTCAGAAAAGTTTCTCCCTCTGCACAGCTCTGACCTCTTATTTGGAGGATGTGCAATAATGTAGAAAGTGTCAAATCAGTGTTCAGTAAGCAGCTCAGTATTGTTTACCTTATTCATCAATGCCTTGGATGAAGGTGCAGATTCCTCCTCAGCAAGTTCACTGGTGACACCAATCTGGGAGGAGTGGTCAATACCCCAGAGGGCTGTGCAGCCCTGCAGAAGGACCTCGACAGGTTCGAGAGATGGGCAGAGAATTTTCTGAAATTCAACAAAGGCAGGTGCAGGGTCCTGCAAGAATAACCCCAGGCTCCAGTACAGGCTGGGGGATGAGCTGCTAGAAAACAGCTCTGCAGACAAAGACCTGGGGCTCCTGGCACACAGCAAGATGTCCACGAGCGAACAGTGTGCCCTGGTGAGGCAAGAGAGTTAGTGGTGTCCTAGGGTGCATTGGGAAGAACATTGGCAGCCAGTCAAAAGAGGTGGTTCAGCCCCTCTATTCAGCCCAGCTGAGGCCACATCTGGAGTGCTGTGTCTAGTTCTGGGCTCTTCAGTACAAAAGAGACAAGGAGCTCCTGGAGTGGGTCCAGTGGACACTACAAAGATAATTAAAATACTGGAGCATCTCTCTTATGACAATAGGCTGAGGCAGCTGGGCCTATTCAGCCCTGAGAAGAGACAACTGAGTGGGGACCTTATAAGTGTCTATCAGTGTCTGAAGGGAGGGTGTCAGGAGGATGGATCCAGGCTCTTGGCTCTTCTTGGTGGTGTCACGCAATAGGACAAGAGGCAACAGGCAGAAATTGATGCACAAAAAGTTCCACATGAATGTGAGGAACTTCTTTACTGTGCAAGTGGCTGAACACTAGAAGAGATTTCCCAGAGAGGTTGTGGTGTCTCCAGCAGTGGAGATATTTGAGATCCAGCTGGATGCAATCCTCTGCCATGTGCTTTAGGATGCTCCTGCTTGAGCAGGTAGGTTGGACCAAATGAGCTATTGTAGTCCCTTCCAACCCATTCTCTGATTCTGTTATTTTGTGAAATCAAATGAACCTTGTCAAAAGAGGGATTTCATTAAGTCATCCTTGTGCAGTTTTAATCTGTCATTATAATGTTTTTCATTAGTTGTTGAAAATCTTTCAATTCACCTTCACTTGAGAACTTGACAACTAACTGGAAAACTCACTGGATTTGAGCTGGAAGTGACTAAAGCACTTGGGAGATCTGTGCTATATTGGGTTGATATATATCTGTACTATATTATGAAAGGAGTTTCTGAGATGATAGAGAATCTTTTAACTTTTGTATGCTGAAAGTGAACAAAGACTACTAAAGGCCATAGAAAGTTAGAATCCTTTCTGGCAACTTATTTTTAAATAAACATGGACAGCAGATTTCAAATGGAGACTGTAAAATTTGTTTTACTATACTCTAAGCATTTCATACCATTTCTATATTTCTAAAAATGTCTATTTTCATGTGACTCTATATATAAAGACATATATGTAGCTAATTTACATGCACCTATGCAGATAATCCCAAGAAATTTATAGGTTTTGCATGACAGTGTCCATTACTAGAAAAGCTAA